AGATTATATTGTTTGGAAGATAGAGAGTTTCAGGCAATGATGACAAAGTATATAATCTTGAAAATAAATTTGTGGAGAAAAGATCTTAAGAGACCATGAACAGTACTTTCAAGAAATCTTTATAGGGATAGATGAAGGCTCTGAAGTACAAACTAAAGGAATGTATAATCTTTTCAATGAAATACAAGGAGGGTCTTAGAATAATACCAAGCTCTAAAAGAAAATGGATGCCAAGAATACTATTTGCAGCAAAATTAAGCTTCATAACTGAAGACAGAATAAACCTTTCATGATAAACAAAAGTTAAAAGAATTCACAACTAGGAAGCCTGTCTACAATACATATTCAATAAAGTATTTCATGAAGAAGTAATGGAGAATAAGAATTAAAACCAGCATAAGGGAGAAACTACACTAGAAAAATAGTCAAGCAAAGGAAAATCAATTCAATGTAAAAACTAAAAATAAATCCAAATGACAGGAAATAAAAATCATCTCTTAATAATAGCACTGAATGCTAATGAACTGAACTCATCAATCAAAAGACATAGGCTGCTGGGCACACTGGTGCAACACCTGTAATCCCAGCAGCTCAGAATGCTGAGCAAGAGGATTGCAAGTTCAAAGCCAGCCTTAGGAAAAGTTAAGCAACTCTGTGAGACCCTGTCTCTAAATAAAATACAAAATAGGGCTGGGGATGTGGCTCAGTGGTCGAGTGCCCCTGAGTTCAATCCCTGGTACATGTACATACACACCCACACACACATACACAGACATAGACTGGCATACTGGATTAAAAAACAAGACCCAACAATATRCTACCTCCAAGAGACTCACCTCATAGGAAAAGGCATCCACAGATTGAAGATAAAAGGATGGGGAAAAAAACATGTCACTCACATGGATCTAGTAAATAAACAAAGGTTTCTATCCTATCCTCATATCAGATAAAGTAGACTAAAGCCAAAATTAATCAGAAGAAACCAAGAAGATCATTTCATACTGCTTAAGGGAATAATACAACAATAGGAAATAGCAATCATAAATATTTATGCTCCAAATAATGGARCACCTATATACATCAAACAAACCCTTCTCAAAATTCAGAATCAGACCTCAACACAATAATACTGGGTGACTTTAACATGCCTCTTTCATCACTAAATAGATCTTCTAAACAAAAACTTAATAAGGAAGCTACAGGACTTAAAAATACAATTAATAGTTTAGACTTAATAGACTTACATAGAGTATTTCATCCATCAATGAATGAAAACTCTTTCTTTTCAGCAGCACATGGAATATTTTCTAAATTAGATCACGTCACAGGCCACAAAGAAATTTTTAACAGGACAATACCCTGCATTCTATCAGATCATAATGGAATGAAATTAAAAATCTACAATAAGGCAAAAAATAAAAACTACTCTAACACGTGGAGACCAAAAAATTCACCATTGAATAAAGACAGCAGAAGAAATCAGGAGTGAATAAAAAATAAAATAAAATAAAATAAAATATTTTTAAAAATAAAATAAAAATATAATTTAAAAAATAAAATTAAAAAATACTTAGAACCAAATTAGAATAGAGATACAACTTATCAAAATCTCTGGGATGCTACGAATGTGGTACTAAGAGTAAAGTTCATTATATTGAGCTCATTCATTAAAAGAACAGAAAAATACCTAATAAATAACCTAACATTACATCTCAAGATCCTATACAAAGAGGAATAAACCAATCCAAAATCAATAGAACACAGGAAATAATTAAAACCAGAGCCAAAATYAATGAAATCAAGATTTAAAAAAAAAAATTTTAATCAATGATACAGCAGCTGGGGTTGTAGCTCAGTGGTAGGGCACTTGCCTAGCTCGTGTGAGGCACTGGGATCAATCCTCAGCACTAAATAAAAATTAAAAAATAAAGGTTTGTATACATCTACAATTAAAAATATTTTAAAAATTAATGATACAAAAAGTTTGTTCTTTGAAAAAAATTAATAAAATTTATAAATTTGCCATTAACCAAACTAACCAAAAGAAAAAGAGAAAAAGCTTAAACTGTTAAAATCTGAGATGAAAAAAGAAATATCACTACAGATACTACTGAAATACAGAGAATAATCAGAAATTATTTTGAAAATGTATACTCTAATAAAATAGAAAATCTTGAAGATATTAACAAATTCCTAGAGACATGTCAAACCAAGAGGGTATAAAAAGTTAAACAAACCAATTTCAAGTAAGAAATTGAAGCAGCCATCAAAAGCCTACCAAAAAGAAAAGCCCCAGATTTTATGAACTCTCAGCAGAGTTCTACCAGACCTTTAAAGAAGAACTAATACCAATTCTCTTCAAATTATTCCATGGAATAGAAAAGTAGGGAACTCTTCCAAACACATTCTATGAAGCTAGTATCACTCTCATACCAAAACCAGACAAGGACATATCAAAGAAACAAAACTTCAGACCAATATAATTGATAAACATARATGCAAAAATTCTTAATAAAAATATTGGCAAATCACATACAAAAATAAATTTAAAAGACAGTGCACCATGATCAAGTGGATTTCATTCCAGGAATACAAGGTTGGTTTAATATATGGAAATCAATAATATTAACTCATCACATAAATATATTTAAAAACAAGAATCACATTATTATATCAATAGATGCAGAAAAAGCATTTGACAAATACAGCTTCCACTCATTTAAAACACTAGGAAAAATAGGGATAGAAGGAACATTCCTCATCACTGTAAAAGTTATTTATGACAAACCCAAGGCAAACATTATTCTAATGGAGAAAAATTAAAAGAATTCTCCATAAAAACATAACAATACAAAGATGCCCTGTTTCACCACTTCCATTTCACATAGTCTTTGAAACTCTAGCCAGAGCAATTTGGCAAAAGAAATAAATTAAAAGGRTAAAAATAGGAAAAGAAGAGCTCAAAGTATCTCTGTTTGGTGACAACATAATCCTACAGTTAGAAGATCCAAAAAACTCCATTCAAACCTTCTAGAACTCATAAATAAATTCAGCAATGTAACAGAATATAAAATTAACACCCAGAAATCAACTGTATTCCTATATTGCAATGATAATCAAGCTGAAAAAGAAACTAGGAAAACCATCACATTCACAATAGCTTCCAAAAAGAAAAATAAAATACTTGTAAATCAATCTAATAAAAGAGGCGAGGGACCTCTACAATGAAAACTACAGAACACTGAAGRAAGAATTAGAGGAGGAACTTAGAAGATGGAAAGACCTCCCATGTTCTTGGATAGGCAGAATTAATATTATCAAAATGGCCATACTACCAAAAGCACTATACAGATTCAACGCAATTCCTATCAACATTCCAATAATATTCTTCATAGAAATGGAAAAAGCAGTCATGGAATTCGTCTGGAAAAATAAGACACCCAGAATTGCCAAAGCAGCCCATAGTAAGAAAGGTGAAGCAGGGTGAATCACAATCCCAGACCTTAAATTATACTACAGAGCTATAGTAACAGGAAAAGCATGATATTGGCACCAAAGCAGGCAAGAAGACCAATAGAACAAAACAGAAGAGAGACAAACTCACAAAGATACAGTTACCTCATACTTGATAAAGGGGCCAAAAACAGACATTGGAGAAAAAGCCTCTTCAACAAATGGTGCATGGAAAACTGGCAATCCGTATGTAGTGGAATGAAATTAATCCCTCTCATCATGCACAAAACTCAATTCAAAGTGGATCAAAGACCTAGAAGTTATACCAGAAACCCCAAACATACTAGAAGAAAACGTAGAAACTGATATCCTTAACAAGATCAAGATCCTAAAGCACAAGAAGTAAAATCAATAATCCATAAATGAGATGGTATCAAATTTGAAAACTTCTTCAGAGCAAAGGAAACAATCAATCAAGAATGTTAAGARAGAACCTAGAGAATGGAAGCAAATCTTTGCCAACTGTACCACAGACAGAGAAATAATTTCTAGGTTATATAAAGAACTCAAAAAATTTAGCACCAAAAATACAAACAACTCAATCAATAAATGGGCAAAGGAACTGAACAGACACTTCACAAAAGAAGAAATATATGAAAATGTTCACCGTCTCTAGCAATTAGAGAAATGCAAATTAAAACTACACTGAGATTGCATCTCACTCTAGTCAGAATGGCAATTTTCAAGAATAAAGTAACAGTAAATGTTGACAAGGGTGAGGGGGGGGGAAAGGTACACTCACACATTGCTGGTAGGACTGCAAATTGTTGTAACCACTATGGAAAGCAGAATAGAGATTTCTCAGAAAACTCTGACCATTTGACCCAGTTATCTCACTCCTCAGTAACAGCATACTATAGTGACACAGACACATCAATGTTTATAGCAGCACAATTCACAAAGATACAGTTACCTCATACAATGGAACCAACCTAGGTGTTCTTCAGCAGAAGAGTGAATAATATGGTATATATACAAAATGGACTATTACTCAGCCATAAAGAAGAATGAAATTAGGTCATTTTCCACTAAATGGATGTTACTGGAAACTATCATGTGAGTGAAATAAGTCAATGCTACAAAACCAAAGGCCAAATGTTCTTTCTGTTATGCAGATGATAACACAATAGGGGAGGCAGTAGAGAATAGAAGTTCATTGAATTAGACAAAAGGCAATGAAGGGAAGGGATGAGGGGATGGGAATAGGAAAGACAGTAGAATGAATTAGACATAACTTTCCTGTGTCCATATATGATACATGACCAGTGAAACTACATCATGTACAACCACAAGAATGAGATCCTAATTAGAATTAGTATGTATGTATAATATGTCAAAATACACTCTACTGCCATGTATATCTAAAAAAACCAAAAAATTTAAAAGACATTGAAAAATACAAAAACGTTCCCAGAATTATAAGAGTATTTTATAGTTTGGAGAAATGAAACAATTTTTCTATTACTTGTTTTGCTAGTTTTTCCTACCTGTTTTTGATTCTTTACATCTGAAGTATTATTGACATCCTGKATATTTTCCCTGAGCTGGGAACTTTCCAATTTTTCTTGAAGAGATGAGTTATTCTTCTCAGCTGTCTCATCATCTTCATCGGTTTCTGGGTTATTTTTCCATTCTTTCATCATTTCTAATACATTGGTAGGCCTCATTGAAGAATGTGTATTTCCCTAATATAGACAATGAATTTTGGTGTTATAAATAGCTTAGATGATTGAAAAGATTCCTATGTCTTTTAGTATTATATACTCCCAAATAAATGATAGTCACATGGGAAAATTACAATGATGAATAAACACAAGCCTTCTGATGTCCAAGGAATCACACTCCCAATCCTGCCATGGCTCACACCTTTTGAATAATATCAGTAATAATATGTCAAAGTTTAAAGTGTTAGTACTGTCTTGAAAGAACAATGCAGTATGATTGTGCCAAGGACACTATATAGAGCAATTTCCTGAAAAGCTAAAGACCCCTTTTCTTTGAAACTGATAGGGGGTTGAAAAAAATGAAAGAAGTTGCCCAAAGGTTAGTGGGTCCAGTGCTAATGATAAGTCTATAAAAATGCCTAGGTAAAAACAAAATCTAAATTCCACTGTGTAGTTAAGAAGTATGTCTAAGAATACAGATACTTGATTTGAAAGCTCTTGTTTGTAATATTTACATATAATGTGATCATTTTGATTATAATTGTCTAATTGTATTTTTTTAATCACAGATATGACTATATCAGACCCAAACTGACCATTTTGTATTAACTTTACTGAACATAATATCCCATTTAATATGCCAAGAAATACATGAATACATGTTCAAATGGCTCCTGCTTAATTAGGCAAGTATTGTTTTTTATCCTAGTTCACACTGTTAAACAAAATTTGAGTAAGAAGTTTGGATTGCTTTTTAACTAAAATGACAAGTTCAAGTGTATGCAGAGCTATGGGGCAATTCTTAATTAATCTGATGTGTAGGTGGATTGTTAAGCATCTGAATACATTGTTGAGTACATCTGAATATATTGTTAAGGATTTAATGATATTAACTGTATTTATGGTTGAAGACAAACTTTAAGTATGGAATGATAATAATCAGTTGGACTTTCATAATTATTATAAAGTGAGATTTCTCAATGATGATTTGTCAAATGTACTTAATATTAATTCAGCTATATTCAGCTACATTCTGTCTTTTAACATTCCATGCCTTTATGTTTCAAACATGTTTCTTGTAAATAGCCAGATTTTTAAATATTCAATTTRACAATATATCTTTAAACAGATATTTTTGTCCATTTACTTGTAATCATTTCTATATTTGGACTTGTTTCAACCATGTAAATTTATTATTTCAATTCATTCCTCCCATTATATGTTTTTTAAATTCTTTCCTACTTTAAAAATTTGATATCTATATATTCTCTTTTAGCACACTTTCATGTACCTTTGTTCTTGCTCCCTTCCCAATGCCCATCATATAGATATTACCTCAAATTTTAATTTTAGGTTATTATGAATATACTTTTTCTTCTTACTCAAGAAGATACCAAGAAAGCCAACCAAGGTATTTAATGACTATTGCTACACATAACTCTATGTAGCATCTCCTGGATTTATTTAAGTACTTCTTTCATCAGGTGTTTTAAAGTGTTAGACTCAAGTAGTAAACCCCCGAGGCTATGTATATTTGAAAACATTTTTATCATTCTCTTTCATACAAATGACAATTTCTTTCTTTTTTTTTTTCATACCAAGAATTTAACCCAGGGTAGCTCTACTACTGAGCTACATTCCTACCCCACTTTTATTTATTTATTTTTTAAATTTTGAGACAGGGTCTCACTAAGTTGCCAGCTGAGCCTTGAACTTGCAGTCCTCTTGCCTCAGCCTTCCAAGTAGTTTGGATATATATATAATTTTGTGCACCACTGCACCTCTTTTTCCTTTAATACACTTAAAATTTTACAGTCAGTCTTGCATCCAATACTGCTGCAATGTGATTGTTCTGTTTGATATGATTTGCTCTTTCTTTTTAGGAGATTTTAAAAATGTGTCTTTATTTTTGATATTCTCAAATTTTGTCATGTCTCTCAGTTTTTCCTCATCACCCCAAACATCTGAAATCTTTTTTCTTGCCTTAAATCTGATGAATTCATCTCTATAATTTCTTAAAAGATTTCCTTCTACTCCTTTATATTTTTCTTTCTGAGGCTCTTATATGGTTTTTAGCACCTTTAATTTAAGTTAAGGACCCTGGCTTCTACTCCTTAACTCCTTCTCTTATATTTTTAATCTCTTTACCCTCTCCTACTTTCTCTGTATAAAACTCTACACTCTGATCTTTAACTGTACCTATTTTACTATATAACCTACATAACTGCATTCTATACTTCAACTATTATATTTTTATACCTAAATGGTTCTACTTGGTTATTTTTTAGCATTTCATATTCTTGTTTCATATTAGTAATACTTTATTTTCTCTTTCAATATGTTCATTTTGTTGATTTTTAAATTTGGGGGTTGCCTATTCTAAAGTCTATTAAAAATTTTAAGGTATAAACTAAAAATATCTGGGGAGACTCCTCATTTTTCAAAATTATTTTCAGAAAAACTAAAGCATAAAATTTTGAATAGACTATTCCAAAAAACACATCATTTTTTMCCAATCTACAAAACCAGCAATTCTAAACTTTATTTTACCTTATAGCATTTTCCCAGTCACCTTTCTCTCTCTCACCTAACACTTGTACTTAGTTTCAATTTGTGTTAATTTTCTTTTAATGTCTTATTTCTCTCCTCTTTTCTGTTCCTACTCATCACCCTAGTTCAATCTTCTTTGTCTCAGCCAGTCCTACTTCAGTTCTCCCAGTCCTACTTCAGTTCTCCAAATTCTGCTTGCCATCATGAAGATTATATGATACACTGTTGCTAGAAAACTGTTCTTGAAGTTCTGTCTGTTCTGGCCCACAATCCACACACCAACCCACAAATTGAAGGTGTTGTCCTATAAAAGTCTCAGGCACGTGCTACTTGTTCCCAAGTTGCTGTTCCAAGTCCCTTATATGGCTCTTAGTTCATCTCCTTACTAAGGACCCTGTTTTCTACTCCTTAACTGTGTGTACATGTTTATGGCTCCCTGGAGATTTTTCAACTCAAATTTATTCCCAGGGCCCTTCCAGCTTTAAGCTATTTCAGGCAGGAGTTCTTCTCTCATCCTGGAGTCACAGGTATAGCCCACAAGCACCATCCAGGTCCACGCACACTACCCTACAAGGTCAGAAGGACAAAAGAGGAATTCACACAAGCCCAGCTGTGATCATGGTACTTCAGTGACTTGCAGTAGTAAACATTGCCATAGTGAACCAAGTGTAAAATAAAGTCTTAGTCAATGTCCAAGAGCAAAATAGCTCTTTCCTGCCTTTCCAGATTAACTACTACTCCCCTACATGGTTTCTATAGGTCTAGAAAAAGAAAAGTACTAACTAGTCTCTGAATATAYTTCATGTTTTTTCTGTCTTTACATAGCTTTTATGAAGTTATTTCCATCTAGAATTCCCCTTCTTCTTATCCTAACTCCAAAACTAATTTCTATGCTTACCTATTTTTTATAGTCAGATCACATATTACCTTCACTTTCAAGCACTTTTTTATACCCCCTAAAAAGAATAATAGCTCTCTTATTGGAAATTTAGTAGTAGTAGTGCTACATATATATTTGTGTATATTTATCATCCTCTTCCTGTGGTTTTTGTTTTAAACCTTTTACTAAAACTGTGGGCAACCTGACCACAGGGACTGTCCAAACTGATCCTGTGTCCCCCACAGTATGAAGAAGTTATTCAATAAATATCTGTTGTATTTTTAGTATATATCAGTAATTAAGTATCAAATAAATCTCCAGGTGTCTTGGCTCATGAACTTCTTCCTAACATGATTTTTATAAAAAGCTTCACTGAATATCTACTCAACAGCATATTCACATATATATACATAATGTATATATAATTAAGAATATAATAATAATAATAATAATAAGTCTGAACACACTTTATAAATCAATGAGCAAGGGCCCTGTTCACACATCAGGAAAGACTATTGTGAAATTCAGCCTTACACCCAATTACAAGTGTCTTTGCAAAATATGACTATAAAGTGCAGAATGGAACTTGCAGTAAATTATTCAAGGAGAGGAATATTAATCTTTGTACTCTGGTAATGTCTGATGGATTAAAATCAAAAGATACTTATTAAAATCAGTATAGACATTTAAATGACTATTGTCCTATTTCAAATAAGTCACCTGTGAGACGGATGCATTATAAAAATAATTTCTTTCATTTCAAAGAGAATACAATTGTTCTTAATTCTGGAAAGAAGCTAAAACTCTTTAACCTGAGATTGAAGCCCCCTCACAATTTTCTTTCCTTTTGTAGACTCATTTCCCACTCCTTTCCTTCAAGCATGTTTTCTGTCAATCATACTGAACTTCCTGATTTCACATTTGCTTGCCTCTGTACCTCCAGCCATTTAGCAATTTCTTAAGTCATTTATCATTTTCTTCCTTGCATTGTATCTTATGCATAGCTTGTTTTCCTTACAATATTGTAAATTCTTTATGTCTTATATATCTTTAACTATATTTTACTACAAAGCACAGGACCTAACATATGGTAGGCATAAAAAAAGTGTTGAAAGAYTTACTTAATCTATGAATAATAATAAAGCTCAAAACTAGGGACTATCTTATGATAAGGCATAGATTAAAAATAATTTTCTTAACTTATACCAATGGTTTGTAAAATGTAAGTGGGCATAAGAAATTCTTGAGAAACTAGTTTTAAAATATAAATTTTTGGTGTTTCCTGTCACCAGAGGATCTGAAGAAATACCAAGATGTCATTGCAACTGTCTAATAAGAAACATTTATCTCCTGAATCACTATTGATGGTAAAGAGGAAAAAAGGAAGAAACAGATACAAGAGACACAATAGGACAATAGACACAATCCTGGCAACAGTAGTCATTATCACACTCTTCCTTTGCAGGAGAGGCACTTTTTTTTACTGTTTTTCCTTACATCTAACATTTAATTTTTGAAATCAGAATGAAAATATATGTTTACTTTAAAGTCCATTCACTTAAATGTAGATAGAGAAATAATTATTTTTCTC